CCAACTTCCTGTGCTCCTTTTAAACCCACTGAATCTACCTAGTGCTGCCATATGTAACATGGTGTAGGGCCGTCCATTGGAGCATGGGCAGTCTATAGGGGATGCATCACTGAAGAAAACTGAATATCCCAGCAGACATCAAGTGCCAACAGTTCCTCAGCTACCTTTGTGGTTTTGTGAGCCCTTGCTCTATCCATGCTGGAATTTTGGCCAAGTTAACATAAAGTAATGGTTTTGTCATGATGTTTTCTCTCTCTCTCTCTCTCTCTCTCTCTCTCTCTCTCTCTCTCTCTCTCTCTCTCTCTCTCACACACACACACACACACACACACACACACACACAATCATCTGTTGTTCTTATTTGTGTGTTCGTGTGCCTCCCCAACTGCTCCCTTGAGCCCTTTTTGCTGGTCCTTTTACCCCTAAAAAAAACTGCTTTCCTTGTGTTTTTTTGTGCCACATATAGTCTGTTACTGTCCTGCACCTCTTGAAGAGCTCTTCTTCACATTCAATGGCTCCCTTTGTGCTTTAATAGCCTACACACACACACACACACACACACACACACACACACACACACACACACACATCCAGAGTCTGCACATAACAGAAAACATGCAGTATTTGTCTTTCTACATCTGGTTTATTTCACTTAACATCATAAGCTCTGGCTCCACTCGTATTCCTGCAAACATCATACTTTCATTTTGTTTTATGGCTGCATAAAACTCTGTTGTTTATAGGCATCTCACTTTCACTGTCCATTAATCTGTTGATGGACATGGAAGCTGGTTCCATTTTGTTGGTATTGTGAGTAGCAGTACTAAACACAGATGTACAGGGATCTGGGTGGTGTGGCAGCTTACAGTCTATTACATACATACCCAGGAGTAGTGTAGCTGGGCCATGTGGTTGTTCTCTTTTTAGTTTTTTGACGAACTTCCACACTGACTACATCATACCTGCACTCCCACTAACGTGAGTGAGTGAATGTTTCCTCATGGCCTCCCCAGAGTTTGTTTCTATTGTTTTTATGATAATCATTTTGAATGGGGAGAGGTGGAATCTCAGAGTGGTTTTAATTTGCATTTCCTGATGGTTTAATGTTGAACATTTTTCTTCAAATATTTATTGGTAATTTGCTTTGCTTTTGAGAATGTCTGTTCAGTGAAATCATCTCATGTTGATTGAATAGTTTAGGTTCTGGGTGTTGGATATTTTTCTTTATATATTCTAGATATGAATTTCCTGTCTGATACATAGTTGGCCAAATTTCTCCCCATTCGTAGGCTGTGTCTTCACAGGATGGCTGTTTCCTTTGCTGTGCAGAAGCTTTATAATTTCATGGAATCCGATTTGTCAGTCCCTGAGATGATCTCCTATTCTAGTGGAAGCTTTTCAGAATGTCCTTGCCTATGCTTGTATCTTGAGGTATTTTCATCCATCAGACTCAAAATTTCAGGTCTTAAGACCTTTGATCCGTTTTGAGTTGATTTATATACAGGTGATGGCAATGGATCTTGTTTCCTTCTTCTACATGTGGATGTCCAGTTTTCCTAGCACCATTTGTTAAATGGGATTTATTCAACAAATGTGTTTTATACCTTTGCTTAAAATTAGGTGGCTGAAATATGTTGGCTTATTTCTTGGTCCTCTATTATATTCCATCGGTATACATGTCATTTTTGTGCATATACTGTTTTTGTTACTACCCCTCTGTAATACAATTTGAGATTGGGTATTGTGACCTCCAAGATGGCTCTCCACTACGGTTGCTTTGGCTGCCTGTGGTCTTTTTGCCTCTATCTACATTTTAGGATTATTTTCTAGTTCTCTGAGGAATGTCACTGGAATTTTGCTGTTGGATCTGTAGACTGCTTTTGGTATTTTCATAATATTATGTCAGTCCATAAGCTTGAGTTCTTCCATCTTCTAGGTTGTTCTTCAATGTCTTGCTTTTTTCTTTTTCACTTTCGGACAGTTTCTGTTATAGAGGTCTTTCACCTCCTTAATTAGGTTTAATACATATGACTTTATACATATTACGAAGTTCTTGTGAATGATATATTTTTCTTACTTTTTTTCTTGGAAAATTTATCATTAGTATATAGAAAGGCTGATTGCTGTGTGTTGCTATTCTGCTGAAGGTGTGTATCAAGTATGAGAGTTTTCTGGTAGAGTATTCAGCATCATTCAAGTACTGAATTATGACATCTATTCATAAAATCCTTTGACTTCTTCATTTCCTATACATCCCTTTTATTTCTTTTTTTTGTTTGTTTGTTTTTCAAGACAGGGTTTCTCTGTGTAGCTTTGTGCCTTTCCTGGAACTCACTCTATAGCCCAGGCTAGCCTCGAACTCATAGATCTGCCTGCCTCTGCCTCCTGAGTGCGCCACCACTGCCCGGGTCCCTTACAGCTTTTAAAATTATTTCCTTGCTTTGTATTTTTGGCATTCTGACTACAATATGTTGTGGAGAGGTCATTTTGAGGTCATGTTTATTTTTGGTTCTAAATGCTTCTTGTCCTTGGATGTCCATTATTTCTTTAGATTTATGGGGAATTTCTGCTTTAATTTTATTGAATAGATTCTCTATGCCTTTATTGGAAACTTTTGGGGTCCAGTCCCTCTAGTCTCCTTTCCAGGGGTCCAGAAGAGACACTACCAATGTTGAGAATAATCTGAGGGAATGATTCTAAGTACACCAAGCTCTTTCATCCGTCTACTTTATTCTTCTGAGATTAAATTCTATCTACACAGCACCAATTCTGTACTCCTACTTAGCTCCTCTCTGTCCTATCCTAGTTCTAACTAAGCTCTTTTTGCCTCATCTTCATCTTCATTTCTTTCCATCTTGGTTCCTTCCATTCCTCTCCCAGAACCAGTCTATGACCTTGCAAGCAGTAACTCCTACAATACAGTGCAAGGCTTCCAAGGCCCTAACAAGAGCAGTGATAGACAGCTTCATTTGCAACCCAAAAGGGGAGTGAATAGAGGAGGTGGGGTCAAAATAAGGCCTGGAATAAGTTAGAAAGGGAATTTATGTGCTCAGAATATATTCTTATAAGTGGTTAGGTGAAATATTACGAGTTTATCATAAATGTGTTCACCTTGTACTGACAGGGCGGGGTAACTCTGCTTGGAGCTAGGAAACCTGCCTCATGGCTTCACAGCACCTGGAATGCAGAAAAAACCTTTTGTTCTGAGTCAATTGCTCTGGAATGCTGCTAGGGCTGTAAGAGAAAGGAGGGTCTGAGCTGCATTTGCACAAAAAGCAAAGCTGTGCACTTAAGTTCGCCTGTCTCCTAGGTCTGGCAGTGTCTTCATAAGGGTGTTTACCTTAATTCAGGAGACTCAGAAGTTGGTCTGAAATGCTTTGTCCTGTCTGTCTTTTGGCTTTGGATTCTAGAGATAAAGTACACTGTTAGAAGTTCTTAGGGAAGGTATGAGAGTGCATAAGAAATTCATAGAAAGAACAGCTATATTAAAAGCTGAGCCAGGTGGTGGCAGCGCATGCCTTTAATCCCAACACTCAGGAGGGAGAGGCAGGCGGATCTTTGTGAGTTCAAGGCCAGCCTGGTCTCCAGAGCAAGATCCAGGATAGATACCAAAGCTACACAGAGAAACCGTGTCAGGAAAACCAAACCAAACCAAAACAAAACAAAACAAAAAACCGAAAAAGCCAAACAACACCAAATACTCCTTAAGATTTGGGTTCCTCTGGAAGAATTCCCTGATTCTTCCAGGTGTAGCTTCACTATATTCAGCTGAATTCTGACTCCATTCCTGAGGCTGGTAGCATGCCTTTAGTTTCTACTTCACTGCCTTTTCATTCATGGATTCTTAGGTTTAGCTTTTTTTCCTTCATTTTGAGATTATAATTACAATATTTCTTCCTTCCCTATCTTTCCTCCAAACCCTTCCCTGATCTCTGTAAATTCATGGCCTATTTTTCATCAATTGTTATGCATGCATATATCTATATGTATACTCATGCATTCCTAAATATAACATGCTCAGTCTATGTAATGTTACTTGTGAATTTTCATGGCCAACCATTTGGCACTGGAAAACCGATGGGTGTGCTCTTCCCTGGGAGGACCACCTTTCTCACTCCTGGATTATTTCAGTTTTCTGTCATTCTCTGTGTAGGGCAGAGCTCCATGGGCTTTTCCCTGTTGGTTTGGTTTCTTGATCACATCTTAAGATTTCTAGGTTATTGTCATACTCACTTTTTTTTCTTTATTTAAGTTTGAATGTAGCATTTCCTCACCCTTTAGACAGCTGTTTTATCCCATGTGCAAATGTCAACTCAAAATGGACTAGGCTTAAATATGAGATCTGAAGCTACAAAACTCCTGGAGGAAAATGTGTGTGTGGGTGAGGGAGTCTCATTGGTCTGAACAATCATTTCTCTGATATGATATAAAAATCACAAACAACAAAAACAAAATAGATAAGAAGGATGGTATCAAGCTGAAAACCATTTGCAGAGCAAAGGAAACAGAGTGAGCAGATAACCCATGGAATTGTGAAAATGTTCTGTAAACCACTGATCTTGTAAGGGTTAATATCTGTAACAGTAAAGAAACTCCCAGGAGTCCTGTGAATCAATGGGTACAATGTCACTGTTGGACAAGGAGACTAAGCTCTGGTGTTCTGTCACACAGTGAGATGATGCCAAGTAATAATAGCTGTTGCATATATTTCAAAATAGAAGAGTTAAGATTCTTAATGATCTTAACACAAAGAAATGAGACTTTGAGGTGATGGTTATGTTTGCTAATTAGTCTGATCACTAAAGAATGCATGTATATATGTGTAATATTATTGCTTCTTAAAAGTAATAGAACATGCAGTTTTGAAGGTAACTCTAAGTCATTACCAAAATCAAAGTCAAAACCAAAGCAAAACATCCCAAAGTTTAAAGAGAGAGAGAGAGAGAGAGAGAGAGAGAGAGAGAGAGATACAGAGACAGAGACAGAGACAGAGACAGGGAGACAGACAGAATACTTTATTTCATTTGGCTTAGCAGCTATTATGAAATACCACAGACTATGTGCTTTAAAAACAACAGAAGTTAGTTTCTGGTGGTTGCACAACCCGAGGAGTCCTCGATCCAGGCTGCAGCTTGACTCTTCTCTCTTGAGTTCATGTGGCAGAAGAGGCAGCGAGCTCTCAGAGGTCTCAGTTTACAGCAGTGACAATTGTGGTCACTGGGTCTTTGCCCTCATGAGCTAATTGCTTCTCCCAGTGTCTCCTCAAGATCCATTCACACTGGGAATGGGTCTTTGAGATGTCTGGGGTAGAGGCGTAAATGTTCAGTCTATAGCTGAGCTTAAATACATGCAAGAATGGGCAACAGGATTCCAAAAAGGTGCTCAGAATCACTGAGTAGTAGGTAAATTCAAATAAAAGCTGCAGTCACGTGTGGTGATATTGTGTTCCCCAAAATATTGTGCACCCTAATAAACTTATCTGGGGTCAGAGAACAGAACAGCAACTAGATACAGAGGCCAGAAAATGGTGGCACACACACCTTTAATCCTAGCATTCCAGAGGTAGAGATCTGTCTAGATCTCTGTGAGTTCAAAACCACACTGGAAACAGCCAGGCATGGTGACACACGCCTTTAATCCCAGGAAGTGATGGCAGGAAGCAGAAAGGTATATAAGGCGTGAGGACCAGGAACTAGAAGTTAGTTAAGCTTTTAGCTTTTAGCAGCAGTTCAGCTGAGATCCATTCGGGTGAGGACCCAGAGGCTTCCAATCTGAGGAAACAGGATCAGCTGAGGAATTGGCGAGGTGAGGATGTGGCTTGTTCTGCTTCTCTGATCTTCCAGTGTTCACCCCAATACCTGGCTTCAGGTTTGTTCTTATTAATAAGACCTTTTAAGATTCGTGCTACAGTCACTCCCGATCTTCTAGGATGGTAGTCATTATGAAAAAGCGGAAAGTGAAACAAGTAGCCATTGTTAGCAAGGAGGTGTGGGAGCTGGAGTATCAGCACTTTTGCTGGACTTAAGTCATGGAGCCACTTTGGCAAACAGCGTGACAGTTCCCCAAACACTAAGAATGGAACCAACAGTTGAAATTCACTGAAGTGCCCAGTAGTATCTGAACATTTGGATAGCGCAGCCATTTCCACATCATGGCTGTTTTGACAATACCACCACGGACACAGGTGTGCACATAAGTCACTGAAATCTTGACCACACCTCTTCTTGGTGGATATTCAGAACTGCAATTGCTGGGTCACAGTGCCAGTTCGGTGTGGTGGAGATGGACAGTAGGTTGGCCATTCTTCCTTACACAGGAAGGAAATATCACTGTAAGCAAAACCACAAAAGAACCTACAGGACATTATCCCGTGTGAATAGTCCACTCACAGAAGGGCATGTACTGCATGAACTCAAGTAGAGCTTCCAAAGAAATCACTCCCCAGAGCAGGAAGTAGGCTTATGTGGAGAAGGTTGCAGTCTTGCACATGGAAGTTTCCTAGTGCTCTGCTGTACACTGAGTTCATACTTGACATTGGCACACAGCACATTTTAAAATTTGCTCCTCTGAGCCAAGTGTAGCAGCCAGCAAGCTTGTAATTCCAGCACCCAGGAAGTAGAGGGGGCAGGAAGATCAGAAGTTCAAGGCCATCTTCAGCTAGCTACATAACTAATTCAAGGCCAGCTTGGACTATATGAGATCCTATCTTAAAACTGTCTCCACCTTGGAAAATGTAAACAGTTCAGATTTTACTTTATTTATTTATTTTTGCATACTAATGTTTTATTTTGTAACGAATGATTTGTAGCATATCTGATTGGCTATTATTTGTTAAGGAAAACTTGTCAGTCTCTTGTGACTTTCTGTGTTCCAAGTGTGTTTCTGACAAGGTATAGGTGTACATGTGTGTGTCCTGATCCATGGTGGCCAACGTGCTGGATGACCTCAGAGGTCAACCCATTTAGAAGTCTGCACCTGAACTTGAGGTCCCTTGAAGGCTGAGAGTTTCCTCGAGAGTTCAAGACAGGTGTTCCACGGAAGGTCACAGGAAGAAGATGGCTGGGAAGCATCTTTGCAGAGACTGTAGGGTCCGTCAAGCAGAAGGTGAGTCATCTCTACGCCCTTTGAATGACTGTGTTTGTTTAAACTCAGAGCCGGTGGTCTGAGACCATTCCATGGAGTATGCACATCATGGCCTGATGCTCTGGCTTTCTCTACCTTCTTTTGTTCTCTAGGACACTGGTTCATCCTAGAAACACAAGAAAAGGTCCTGGTTATTAGACTTACATGCCAGGACTGGCGACACTGATGGGCTGAGAAAACGAAGGGAGATTGTATTCCTTCTGCCTGTATTTACTGAGTATGCGCACACATTTAGCAGTAGGAGACACAGATGATCAGAGGGGGAGGGTCACGCTGTTGGCAAGCAAGTGATGACTCCCTCTTTTTCAGAGCTGGGGTCACAGGAAACCTCTGTGTCTGGTGTCTGGAGAGAGGAGGCCAGAGTCACATCTTCCTAAGTAGGTCAACTTTGATTTCCACCCACCTGTGGTGTTTCAGGGGGCTTTGTGAGACTGAGGTGTGAACTGTGGAGTTCCCTAAGTGAGAATATCCACCCTCAGTCACCAAAGGTGCCACACATTTCCCCAATCATTCCATTAGTGGTTCCCTAATATCAGATTCTGATTTTCACAACTGAATCATTGGCAGGGTCCAGGAAATTCACATTTTTAAGGAATGCCCAGGTAACTAGGTGTCTAGGCTCTCAACCTGGGCTGGATTTTTCCTACTTCAGGGAAAGTGAAGATGTGGTACAGAGCTGAGCCGGCAGCACAGCAGAGTCCCCTTGTTCTGCCTCCAGGGAAGCCGCATGGCCAGCTGAGGTAGCTGTCCTTCCCTGTGGACGACACGCATATAAGGTACTTAACCTAGCTCAGTGCATCTCTGCTACTTGTTCCCAAGTCTGCAGGGGCAGGGTGGGGTGCTGACAGGCCTGGCTCCATATCTACCTTTGAACTTAGCACCTTTTTGGACTCACCCAATCAGTTAAGTTCTTTGAGTTTCAGTTTCTTACTCCACAAACACATACTAGTATCCATTTCCAAGAATTTTGAAAGGATTAGATATGATAGTACATACCAAGCATTCATTACAGTGACTGGTACAAAGAAAACACCTTCCAACTTTTGCTTATAGCAGTCTGTCAATAGACTGACCACCCAGAGGGCAGGAATCATGGTTCTCCTGCTGGACCACACTCACCAAGCACCTTCAATTAATATCTGAAGAAAACAACATGGTGTGCATATGTGTTATTTGTATGCTGTGTTTGTATGTGGTGAATGTTTTGTGTATATGTGGTGTGTGTTTTGTGGGTATGTGTCTGGTGTATATGAGTGTGGTGTGTTTCTGGTGTATATGTACGTAGTATGTATATGTGTGGTGTTAATCTTGTTATATATATATATATATATATATATATATATATTTATTTATGTGGTATATGGTTGTGCTTGGTATGCATGTGTCTGGTGTATATGCACACGGTGTGTGAGTATGCATGGTGTGTGTCTCATGTATATGTGTGTGATATGTCTGGTGTATATTATGTGTGGTGGATGTGGATACAGTATGTGGTGTGTGTCTGATGTACATGTGTGTGATGTGTGTCTGGTATATATGTGTGGTGGATGTGGATACAGTATGTGGTGTGTGTCTGATGTACATGTGTGTGATGGATATGGATATAGTATGTGGTGTGGTACATTTGTGATGTGCAGGAAAGGTTGATGGGTAGGACCCTCTGTGGCTGCCTTTTTCCTGGGTCCCTGGAAGTCACCCACCTTCAGTACTGTAGATTTTTCTCTTTCAGCCCAGGTATTCAAAAGAGATCTCTTCCTGCTGGCCCTTCAAGGAAGGGATAACATTGGTAACAGCTCAATGTGGCAGGGAAAACAGCATCTCATGGGTAGGGTCTGACTTCTGCCCCAGCCCTTTGGAATCCAGTGTCCTACCTGGTACCAGGAGTGTCTGCAGGTTTGTGCTTGTGGCCACCTGCCAGACTTCCCCAGTTGTGGGCTGTGATGTGAGCAGGTTTATGCACAACACTGTGACACAGGTTATACTCCCCCACTTCAAAGCTTTGCTGCTAGGTCCATGTACTTGATGCAGACTAGAGAGCACCCTCCTGGACAGGCGTGGGAGCCCCGGCAGCAGGCAGTGCTGGGTTCCGCAGCTCCTCAGCAAGGCAACATGTGGAAGCATCATGGAAGCAGCACCCAGTGTTCCAGAGGCCTGAGAGGATCCTCCTGTATTCCCTGCGGAAGTTCTGATTCAGGAGCCCGTAGACAATGGCATTAAGGCAGCTGTTGAAGTAAGCTAGGAAGTAGCTGGTGACAAAGAGCCCCTCTGGGACCTGGAGAGCCATCGCCTCTGGGTTGATAGCCACTGCAAGGCCGATGCAGTTGAGGGGGGCCCAGCATATGGCAAAAACCACGAACACTGCGAACATGGTTAGGAAACTGCGCAAGTCACCAGGCCTCAGGCGCAGCTTACTCTCAGCCTTGGCCTTCCTTCGGACCCGGAGCACCAGCACCCAGATTCGCAGGTAGCAGAAGGATACCACAGCAATTGGAAGGAGGAAGTGGATGGCCACCACGGCCGCAGTGTACTGGGTGCTGGCTGTCTGGATGAAGGTGCAGGAATAGATGCGTGGGTCATACTCTAGGGACCCCACAAAGAAATTGGGCACCAAGGCCACCAGAGTGAGGAGCCAGACGAGGCTGATGTAAAGGGGGGCATGCCAATGACTGCAGACGCGGTGGTAGGTTGCACTGTGACAGATGCACCAATAGCGGTTGATAGCAATGGCTGTGATGTTGAAGACAGAGCCAATGACACTCAGGCCCATCACAAAGGCACTGGCTTTGCAGTGGGCCTCTCCAAGGGCCCAACCATCATGGACAATGGCCACCAGGATCAGTGGGTAAGGGTACAAGGCTACCACCAGGTCAGCCAAGGCCAGACTCACCACAAACAGGTTACCTGAAGCAGGAAACACAGGTTAGCAGTTAGAAGAGGCCCCACATTTCGTGTTCATTATTTATGGGGGTGGAGGGAAATCGCTTGGTGGGTAAAATGCTTGTAACTCAAGCACGACACCTGAGTTTGATTCCCAGACCCCACACTTTAAAAAGAAAAATAGCCAGGCGTAGGGATAATTCTTATAATTCCAGGGAAAGACAGGCAGAGTCCTGGTGCTCGTTGACTAGCTGTCTAGCCTAATCAGTGAGCTCCACATTCTTAAGAGATCCTGTTTGAAGCATAAGGTGGATGGCACCTGAGAATACAGGAATGATATCCAAGGTTCACCTCTGGTTTCTGTACTCACACATGCTTGTGAATTTCCACACAGAAACCACACACACACACACACACACACACACACACACACACACACACACACACACACAGACACACACACACACACACACAGACACACACACACAGACACACACACACACACACACAGACACACACACACACACGATACACAGATATGCACACAACATTTTATGCTTCTCTAAACTGCTTTCATCATCTCTGGGAGTGGAAACCAATGGCATTTAGAGACAGAGTCGAGGACTCAAATTGCATCCGTACTTGTCTACTCAAGCGCTCACTGGTTCCCTTTGGTAACTTGCAAAGCATTGATAATTACCCTACTTTGTGGTAGGTGTGATAATGAGAGCAATGCCCAGTGGAGTGAGTGGTCTCAAATAACTGCTTCTAGGACAGGTATAGAGGCATGGTGTTCTGGTTGGCTTTTGTCAACTTGACAGAAACCTACACATATCTGGGTAGAGGGAATCTTAATTGAGAAAATGCCTCCATATGATTGGCCTCTAGGCAAGTCTGTGGGGGCATTTCCTTGACTCACGAGTGATGTGTGAGGGCCCAGACCACTCTGGGCAGTGCCAGTGCTTGGCAGGTTGTGTAAGAAAGCTGGCTGAGCCAGCTGTAGGAAGGAAGCCATCGGGAGCAAGACAGGAAGCAGTGTTCCCCTACGGCTTCTGCCTTAGTTCCGCCTCCAGTTTCCCTTCTTGAGTTCCCTTTATGAAGGACTGTAATCAGGACATGGGAGCTGAAATAAACCCTTTCCTCCCCAAGTTGCTTTTGGTCATGGTGTTTTATCACAGCAAAAGAAACCTAACTAAGACACACAGGGACGTGACTGTTGTCCTCTTGGCCCATAGTCCTGGAGGAAAGGAGTGGTGGCGATTCCTACTTTGCCTGCACATTCCCTGACTTTCTGAGCTGTCTCCTCTGAATGGAACCCTTGGTAGTTTATCATCAGCTCAGCCAGCCAGAGCCTCAGGAAGCCACACAGCCATCCAGGAACGTAGCTCGAGTCCCAGGGAGGAAGGAGACAGTTCACTCCTGAAGAGTCACCTTTGCTCATCCAGATTCGCTGTCTGAGAACACCAGTGCCCCGAATGAAGCACCAGGAACCTGGAGGGTTCCAACATGGAGCTCAGGGCGTGAGCAGTTCCCTTCCCTAACACCATTTCCCCCACCAAGCCTTGTGTTTTCTGAGCATTTGCTGGCATAGTGTACACAGGGCATAATGTTTTCAGGCATCTGGCCCAGGTGACAAATGCATGCTGCTTGTCGTCAGACAGATGCAGTGGGAAGGCAGGTTGCATTTGTAAAAGGAACTTACAAGTTGCCCAGGACATAGGCGCTCCACCCACCTCAAAATCTGTCCTTCTCCTATAGCTCCACCCACCCCCACCTGTCCTCATCCCACCTGAGGGTTCAGAGCATCAGGGAAGGAAGAGGACAGGCTGAGGTCTAGGAAATGGGTGGGTTAGAGCCTAACAGTTACAGGTTCAGCTGTCAGACCTTCACATGAAGCACACTCCACTTGCATGTGTCAAAACACAGCTTGGGAAAGGGCTGCCTCCAGCCTACCCTAGTCCCAACACACATACTCACCCTGTCAGAAGACTGGGTGGTATAGAGTGCCTTGGGCAGGGACCTGGAGAAGTGCCTATTTTCATCTCAAAAGCCCCAGGTCAGTCCAGCGCAGAACTGAGAGAAAATAAGTCCCATCATACTAAGGAAGTTATCAGGACCTCAGGGCTACACTGGCATCCAGAGCCAGGACAGGATCGAAGAGGGCCAGGGGATGTAAGAGGTTGCCAGTGAACTCTGGCAAGAAGTGTGGGGTGAGAGGGAGCGTGGCCCGGGGTCTGAGGACCACACAGGGAGGTTGTCTAGGGATGGTGTATCCTGCACGCTCTGCTGCCTTTCATCCTGCTCTGTTATTTGAGGGTTTTAGTTACTTTGTGGGTTAAGACTCATTTTCTTTCCAGTTGTTCCTTCAAGGTGAGAAACGCACATCTGAGGACCTGTGCGCCATGTGGCAGATCTGGTTGGCGTCTTGGAGTTTCATTTTCAGTCCTGGTGGTTGTCCCCACCATCAGCAGCAGCCTTTGGCTTTCTGGCCGTGACAGTTCATCTTCTTAGTCAGTCTGGCAGAGTCAGAACCACTCAAGGGACAGACACATCTCTAGGTGTGTCTTGAGAGTGTTTCTAGGTTAGGGCAGCTGAGCAGAGAAGACGCACGCTGAATATGGGTGGCAGCATCCCATGGGCCGGGATCCCAGACTGAGGATCCGTTGCCTCTCTCTGTCACTGAGGTGTGATTGTGAGTCATGACCTGCACTGTCCCTTTCCCACCATGATGAGCCACACTCCCACCAGTTACGGCTCAACCCTTTTGTCCTCAAGTCTCCTGTGGGACGTGTCTTGTCAAAGTAACTAGGAAAGCAGCTGATGCACCACTTCAAACTGTTCTGAGTTCCCAGAAGCAGGGACTGCTTCTCACAACCCAGTTAGGATAAGAATTGCTTTATTCTGGGATTTTAAGGCTCCTTTTGAAGTTTGGAGGAGGTGCTGGAGGTGGGAGGAGTCTGAGGTACACTTAGTTCTGCCCATTTCTGATATTGGGCATTTGGGCAATGATTGAACTTTCTCTGTGATTTCTTCACCAACCCCCTCTCCTGCTGGAGAACCCCCATAACTCTTCACAGTGTTGTTTTTGTAGTGAACACCCCCCTTTCACCAACACAGGAAGGTTGGTTGCTGCAGATCCTGATGGTTTCTGGATGGACAGCAAACAGTCTCTTGGAATGTACGAATGTGACAGAAAAAGTCAAAAGTGGCTGGAAGCTGGTGCCAGCTCTGCCAGCTGTTTCTCTGGGAAAGCTAAGGCAGGCACCGCTGTGTTAATGCGGCTTGTCCCCTAATAATGCCCCAGAGGCTGCAAACAGCTTGTAAATGGCGAGCAGAACACGTTAGCTCTACGTGGAAAGTGATTCAATTACTCCCCCCTATTAAGCCGGCTGTTCCTAAAAGGCTGAAATCCACCAATCCCTGCTGGAGAGTCATCTGCCCAGCGGTCCTACTGTCTTCTAGCTTTCTTGGCATGAATCCCAATTAGGTGACTGCCGATCTTACATTGACGGCCATCTGTGAGATGCTGAGATGCTGGAGTCTCTCAGGATGATATTTGGGCGGAGATCCCTGCTGCATCAGTTTCTTCCCCAGCCAGGTGAAAGATCAACCAGCCAGCCTGTAGCTCTGTTCTGCGTTGTGTGCAATGGCTTGTAATAAACATTCATATACCAGTCTTGGAGTGACTCATCCTGCCTGCCTCCGCCAGACAAGCTGTGACAGTGGGAAGGGGCCGCCACCACAGGGTTGTGGTCTCTGAAGCAGAGCCCTCATTATTCACAGGTAAAGCACACTACTTTACACTACACAGTGGCTTCTTATCCCATCTCCTTTCTGGGAATTCTGTTTCTGAGGAGGTGGTCAGCGCTACACTGTCTAGTCTTCATCAGACAGAACTCTGAAAGGCAAAGCCACCCCTGTCCCCAGCCACTCCTTTGTTCACCTTCTGAACTCGGAAGAGTTTCCTTGTGTTTAAAATGCTCTTGGGCATGGAGCTTCAAGTCAGTGTTTACTTGAGCCAGTCAGTTATTCAGCAGGGACCCCCGAGAACCTCCTCATAGCAGTTCTGACTGTGCTGGGAACTTAGAGAAGTGGGTGAGCAACCCAGGGGCATTTATTCCCTCACAGAGAAGACAGTCAACAAATGAAAGCAGGGCACAGTGAGGGAAGTCCACAGCCGACCCACGCTGGCCAACAGGCTAACCACTTTCACGTCAAAGTCTTCCTCCATCCTTTATTTGATGTACAGTACATCTGTCCTCTTCCATACACAGGAAAGATATGGCATGGTGCTCAGAGAAAGACCTGTTATGATGCACCAACACAGAGAAACAGTAACCCAGGTAGTCCAGGCCACAGCAACAAGGTGGGGAAAGTTCCACGTCAGACAATGAAGAGGGATGGTGTTAGTCAGGCTGAACAATTCCCCCAAGCCCTTCGACCAGATCGCTCCTACCCAAGAATGGCAGTGCACCTCCAAACAGAATCTTACAGTGAAAGGTCCTAAGCAACAGTAACGTCAACATGAATCATGTGAGGCATTCTAATAACGTTTTGGGTGTAAGCAATTTTGAGAAGATTGAGCAGATAATTCGTTAGAAAGTTGGTTTCCTCACAAGTACCGGAGCAATGGATACATGTAAGGTAATCTCATTATGTTCTCAAATTCCTGGAGGGTAGAAATTGTTTTCTTCCAAAGTCCTGTTGTTTACGCAAAACCCTCAGGGCGTCAGGATGACTCATAGAAAGGCTGAGATAAAGTTGTTCTTTCCTTAGTTATATAAATTAAAAGTGTACAGGAAAATACCAAGGAAGATGTATTTAAGAGTATAAGAAGTATGTGTTTGAAAGAATAACTGGTATAATGTCACCAAACATTCTTCACAATCATCAGAAGAGATCAGCTTCTGTGGAAATGTGATGATGAGCACCATCTTTTACTTTAACAAATGCAATAGTGACCGAGGACAGTGGATGTGCCACCAGACTCAATGGTATGCACTCGGTACTTCTTGTAAGAATCC